CTTAAAAAAAAAAAAGAAAGTAAGAAGCTATAGGCTAATGAAAGACATGCTTTCGGGCGCCTGGGTGGCTCAGTTGGTTAAGCGACTGCTTTCGGCTCAGGTCATGATCCTGGAGTCCCTGGATCGAGTCCCGCATTGGGCTCCCTGCTCGGCGGGGAGCCTGCTTCTCCCTCTGACCCTCCCCCCTCTCATGTGCTCTCATTCTTTCTGTCTCAAATAAATAAATAAAATCTTTAAAAAAAGAAAGACATGCTTTCTCTATTTCTTTCTCTTTCCACACACACACACACACACACACAGAGGCATACATACATGTTTACACACACTCACAGAGGACTTGTATTCAAAATATACATAAAATTCCTACAAATCAATATGAAAATGACAAAAAAAGACTAAAAAATGGACAAAAGGTTTGAATAGACACTTCGTAAGAGTATATCAACATGGGCAGTATCATATGAAAAGATGCTTACATCATGACTTATCAGAAAAATGAAAATTAAAATCACAACGAGATACTACTACACAGACATCAGAATGACTAAAGTTAAAATGATTAACAATAGCAAGTGATGGCCAGTTTGAGAAGTAACTATATCTTTCAGGGAGTGCAAATTAAGTCAGCCACTTCCACCCTTAAGTATATATCCAGGGAAAACATGAACATATGCCCACAAAAAAACTTGTACAAGAGTGTTCATAGAAGGTTTATTCATAATAGTCAAATACAGGGAACAACCCATCATCATGAGAATGAATAAAAAAAAGTATGGTATGGTCACACAAGGAAGTTTTCATAATGTGATCATATTCTGGCAGGGCTGCTAGAGACAGAATGATGTCTCTTCCTATGAACTCCCAAAGCAGGTCACCTGGATTTCCCTAGTGACATCTCACATCTTCTATCTTACTTATTCCTATTTTGATTTCATTTCCTTGGTGGATAACAGGTCATTTGAGGAGAGCAACTATGTCTTTTTGTCATTATATTCCAATGAGTACAAGCATATTGATATATTGTAAATATCTGGTATCTGACTTAAATTTCAAAACTAGAAATTCATCCTTAGGGAATGACTGTAAAAGGACATAAAGATCTATGCATAATGATGTTCATTATAGACTAATTTAGTTGGGAGTAAAAAATTAGAAACATAACAGCTAATAGTAGGCAACAGGTTAAATAAATTATGGACAAAAGGGCTTGAGGGCCCTGAAAAGGGTGATCTATCTGCATGGTCTCACACACAATTCACAGATATGTCACTAATAGGCAGGACATTTCAGCGAAGGAAAGAAAGGGTCTCATATCTTTAAAATTCGAGTGTATTTAATGAATAATGAGGACACACAAACTCACCTGAACTTTAACTTCTTGATGTGTAACAAAAATTCTTTTTTCTCTCAGTATCGTCTTTTTTTCTTTAGAGACAGGCAGCACTGGGAAAAGAGAAGGCAATCCTGAAACATCAGGATTTTCTTGGATAG